TAATACAGTTCATACAAGTGTTACTTTTAACCTACTTTTATCTCATTGTCTTAATTTCTATCAACTTTACAATGTATCCTTTATTTGTTTCTTTTATAAAATCCATTTCCCTTCAAAAGTTAGAAAATATATTATTTCATATGAAGTTACCATTCTAATTCCTATTAAAAATACAGAAAATAATTAAAACCTCAAAAAAGCATGAAATTTCTCCTCATGCCCTTAGACAATCACAACTCAGAACTTCTTAGTAATCCTTTGCTCCGTCAACTCAGTGGGCCATCGCAAAAAGAAAAAAGCAATTATTGAATGACAGAGCAGTAGAATATTGTTATTTCAAATTCCACTATGACATTTGACAAGTCTTTTAAAATTACGGTATGCAACCAAAAATCCTAACAATTGAATTATTGTATGATAAACCAATTTAATTAAAGATTTTCAGGGATACAGAGTATCTTGAATTGTTTGGATGTGGGGAAGAATGACTGAGCAATTCAAATTTATAAGTAATACAAGATTAAAGGTGAAGATTTCCCAGTCCATTCATGTCCAATTCTATGGGGCGGTTCCATGGTTGAGGGAGCCAGCAATATCCAAAGTCATGTGGCCAACATGACTATACACTAAGGCGCACAGAACACACCATTTTCCATAGTCATGCGGCCAACATGACTATATACCAAGGCATCTGAAAAAAGTTACTTTACCACCAAAGTGGTTTGTGTGTGCATGTATGTACTCACATTTGCATGTTTTATGAGCTGTGGTGGCACAGTGGTTAAAATGCAGTATTGCAGGCTAATTCTGCTGACTGACAGCAGTTCGATTCTCACCGGCTGAAGGCTGACTCAGCCTTCCATCCTTCTGAGGTTGGTAAAATGAGGACCCAGATTGTTGGGGTCAATATGCTGACTCTGTAAATTGCTTAGGCAGGGCTGTAAAGCATTATGAAACGGTGTATAATTTTCATTCTAAGTGCTATTACTATTGCTTTTGAATTGCTAGGTGGGCAGGAGCTGGGGAAAGGACAGGAGTTCACCCCGTCGTGCAGCGCTCAAATCTTGAACCCGGGCAGTTTTTTAGCTGACGAGTTCATAGTCTTTAACCACTGAGCCATTGTGCCTCCTTTAATACAAGAACATTACTTATGTTCTATAAAAATGGAAACTTCTGAATTCTATTAAGCAAAATAGGAGCAAATAGCTTATCTATTTTAGCAATAGCTACTTAAAATTTTACATGTCAGTCAGTTGTTCCATCTTTGATATCATCTTGATAATCATTTTTACTTTTATTAATTAAATGCACCAAATAGATTTAGATAGTGAGGTGTTATATTCTTTTCTGGCTTCAGAACAAAAGTTTCAGATTTTATGGTTACAGATAAACAATGTTTTTAAATTTATAACATCTTTTACTTAAAAAAATAAGCATGTTAAATTGTCAGTAATGTTTTTATTTTGGCTTTTGAAATAAAATTACCATGAGAATTCATTATAGCATTTGAATGAAGATTAAGATTACTCATAACTAAAATGGTGAATGAACATGGCCACAATAATACTTCCTACCCTTTTTAGTTCTTCTAAGGAAGGCAAGATAAAAATAGTACAGCTCACACATGCTGCTCACTGTTTTATTTAAAGTTCCTTTCTAATTTCAATTGGTGAAAATCAGGATTTTAAAAATTCTGATACCTATGTTAGTCTGAAAGAACTATATTTTTAAAAATCCCACTATTAAACAATTCATTTGAAAAGCTATAAATAAATGAATAGAATTAAACCAGATGGCAATTAATTCAAATTCTTAGTTAAGAAGCAGTAATATTGACCTCAATCACTCTGGCTTCAAAATAAATGCTCAAGATGCAAATAAGCAGAAACGACAGCTGTTTCTTCAAAATATAAACAAAAAACATTTTCCATTATAAGCAGTATGCTTAGTGCATTGATATCCGGAATACCAATATATTAATTCTAAAGCAAATGCCAAATATAGCACATATAATAAAGAATGGGTTGAATGCATCAGCAGCCATTTGGTATCCACATATATAAAATTAAATTTTTAAAAATGCTTGAAACACCCACAAATCATCACATATACACATTCCTGCATAATTATAGAGGGATACAAGAACTCTGACTTGAAGCCTAGCAACAGTATCTAAGTATTAGTTAGTCTGCTAATCAACTACCAAAACTCACACACCACCACCTCAATGTGTTTCATATTTAAAATAAAATCCCTCCTGTTTCTATCTTCAGAGCAGCCGAAGGAAAAGGAATATGATAAAACAAACCTTGTTCACTTGAAGAGGAACAACCCATGTCATTTAATCCATCGGATAATTCATCTCATCACAAACAGCCAAGGCAATACAAAATAAAAAGAAGATTTAAAAATAGATTATCCAAGTCAAAGGCTCCTCGGTTTGCAACATCTTTGAAATGTGCAGACCTGTATTTAAAGAGATAGTCCAGATTCCTATAGATATTATTGCTAGTTTTTTGCATCTCCATCCTATAGAGGCCCTAGTAAATGCTGTATGGCAAATGCTTTCTAAAGCTTCAGTGCTCATTTAGTCACAGACAGCTGTAGACTGGATGAAAACAATCAGGGATTAACTTTTTTATTCATCGTAGCCTTTAATCTATTACTTTCTCTTCAGATAAATAAAAACATAAAATGTGACAACTAACTGCAGTACAAGCAAGCAAACATAACATGTCAATCAAGGATATTTATGTTTTGGACCCTAAAGACTTTCCCTCTTAAAAGACAGAACACTGGTTATAAAACATGCAGTAAATGAAATGATGCAGCTCTCAAGAATAATTTAAGGTGCTTATTAAAAAATACTTGGATAAATCTGTAATATTTATATAAAAGGCTTATTAAAATTGTGAAATTTGAATAACTTAAACTAAATCACATTTAGTGTAATACTTAAAATATAGCTACACTTATCAAAGAAGTATGACTCAGTCAGAAAAATCGTATTCACCTATTAAATGTCTATATATATATTAAAGACCAGGATCTTGTTTGTCCTATCAAAAAATTCTTTAAAATAGAATTAAGTATCTGTATCTTTCCAAGTAAGAATTTGATTTTTTTAAAAGATATGAAAACACACACTGATCATTTTCTTGATCTAAAAATAGCTGTACTAGTATACAGCAAATAATGCAATAATGAAATGACACAAACCAAGATCTTATTTAGATGCTATTTTTACTTCAGATTGGAGACACGTCTTAGGTTCATAAGTTTTCCTAGCTTCCCCATCTATAAAGGAAAAAAAGACTAAAAATGTGTGAATATAATGATAAAATGCATTTTTCTCTTGCTGACATCTTTAAAGCTAGCCTTCAGGGTGTGTGTCTGTGTGTGTGTGTGTGTGTGGCCTTCTAGCAACTGCCCTACAGTTTTCTTGGCAAGATTCTCAGAAGTGATTTGCCTTTTTATTCCTAGGCTGAGAGACAGGAACCGGGTATAATATGACGTATGACTGAGGCAAAATGTGTTTTTTCTGGTTAGGTCTACTGCTGTGAATAAATTGGAGCTGGTAAAACCCACACATATATATGCACACTTCTGGGTTTCAAGGCCACTTATGCTTCTGCTGAGCATGCCAAAACTTAGGAAAACCTGCAGATAGCAAGCCTCAGTCTTTTACGGAATGGAAATTCAAGCACAACCTGTGTTCGACCCTTAAGTACTCTTTCTTCCAATTCAGTCACTAATTATTCCCTCTCATTTGTGTGTCTGTGCCTGTACAAAGTTTTTTATTTATTTTTATTTTTATTTTATTTGTCAAGAATGTATTAGGTAATATATATAAGTATAAGCATGAATTGAATACATTAAGTAGATACGAACAGAGGAAACATTAGGACGGGGACGGTACGCACGCTGGTGCTCTTATGCACGCCCCTTACAGACCTCTTAGGAATGGGGTGAGTTCAACAGTAGATAGTCCTAGGTTAAAATTTTAACATAAGTATCTGGTACAAATCATGATGCATGAATGAAGGAATGACATCACAGTGCAAACCTAGTCTTTGTACCTGCATCCCAATGTTTGACATAAATACATGGGTCACATGGCTTGTGTTATGCCACAATGCACATTTTATTATTTGCCTCCTCGCTCGCACTTTCCTAGGGATGCCATTTGTGTTCTACCTCTATTTGATCCAACAAATTTCCTATTATATAAGATGTCCATCTTATCAGGATTTAGATGGTTTGCTTTCCTTCGTTGCTTCTTATCCTCTTCTCAGAAAAAACGATGTTCATCTCATATCGATATTTAAATGTCCAAAAATTCTCCCATAAGTTTCAGATTATTTTTAAAAAGCAAAGGACAAAGCTCTTGTGACAGAAGGAAGAACCCTCTGACCACATCTGAGCTGGAGCTATATCATATTTCAAGCCTTCAACATGTTTATCAATTTTCTTCCTAGTATAGTGTTCTAAATCTGTACAATTTTTACTTTTACTCAATATTATCTAAGTAAAAAGATCCAAAAACCCATCACAGAAAAGATCTTTCTTCTTTCTCCGCACATTTGACGTATCTTCTAGATCTAAAAACTCTTAAAATATAATGTACAGTATTGTATTACACTACATTGGTCATTCCCCAGACTTATATAAGAGTATTAGGGAGGAAAATGATTTTTTTTCCTGATACTGTTCTGAGAGAAGCAACATTTTGACAGATATCAATAGAAGAGAATATATGTAGCTCAGGGTTGAACTCTGAAGTCTTTAATGGTCTCTGAGCTGGGTTGTTTGCTTGCAGACATTTTTTGGAGTTTTTGGAATTTTTCAAAGGGTACTTTGGATTTTGTAGTTTGGGTTTTTATATATCAACAATTATTTAACATATAATACAAAAATTATTTCATTTTATTCTCATGCTATATTATTGATTAATGCAATAACTTCCATTGAATATTGAACAGAAATCCCAATGTACATACCAATATCAGTTTCCTTATGGTTCTTGATATATTCAGCAAGCTCAAAATTTCCAGCAATTATTGCCACCTGAAAAATTATAAAACAGGTTATATCTAATATTTCAGTCTATAACGTACAGCGTAAGTTTCAAATTCTAGGAATCAATATATAGATGATGAGATACTTCCACAGTACAACCTTCTGCATGTTTTCTAACTTCTAATGAGTCATGTACATAAGAAGGTAAAAGTGCCCCTGGGGTTTTACTTTACAGTTGACACCAACTTTATGGCTCATCTCTGTGTCTATAAACTACTGAGCCAGTGCTGTCTGACAATTCCACAATCCTGTGGCCAGCATGATGTCACGTCGCAGCGCAAAACATATGGCAAAACATGAAATGCTGTCACCTTCCCACCAAAGTGGTACCTATTTATCTACTTGCATTTACATGCTTTTGAAGTGCTAGATTGGCACGGGCTGAGGCAAGTAACAGGAACTTACTCCATCATGCAGTGGTAGGACTAAAAAAAAATGGACCATAGACCAGTGGTGAAATCTAAAATTTGTTACTACCGGTTCTGTGGGTGTGGCTTGGTGGGGGGGGGTAATGTGACTGGGTGGGCGTGGCCAATTTTTTTTTTCACTTTTAAAACCATTTTTTCTACAACCTCTTCGGCGAAGAGGTTGTAAAAAATGCTTTCAAAAGGCTCTGATGATCCCAGCTGAGTTGCCTGATCGGCAGAGACTTTTTTTCTTTTAAATGCCTCTGACGATCAGGCAACTCAGCTTGGATTGTCAGAGGTATTTAAAAGAAAAAAAGGGTTTCTTTCTTTTAAAAGCCTTTGATGATCTCCGCTGAGCTGCCCGATCATCAGAGGCTTTTTTTTTTTACTTTTAAAAGCTTTTTTTCGGCCGAAGAGGTTGTAGAAAATATGCTTTTAAAAGTAAAAAAAAAAAAGCCTCTGATGATTGTGCGGCTCAGCTGGACATTGGGGGGGGGCAGGGATTTTTGCTACCGGTTCTCTGAACCACCCGCATCCATCGCTACTGGATCGGGCGATCCGGTCCAAACCAGGAGCATTTCACCCCTGCCATAGACTTTCTCCAGTATCTATTATGCCACTGAGCCACCATACCTCCCCAGTCATATACATACTGCCTATTAAAAAGAAGCTTTAATTTCTGTAAACATTGATTTTAAACATAGGACTGGTCAACTGATGATTTGCAAAAATATATGTTGGCCACAGAATTAGCAAAAGTACATTTGACAACAACACTTCATAATAGTGACATGTGGCAACATTTTTCCATGAATAGGCAAGCAAGTACCAAAATAAAATGCAAATAGAAAAAGCAAATCATAGGATATGTTATTATCAATCCACAAAAGTTGATAAACGTTTTTTCAGTTTTCAATTCTTAGTTTTGCAGTCCAAAACCCTTTCTGCAAAATTTGATTTTTATATATAAGATTAGAAAAAAGGACAGTATTATTTGAATGCTATATTTTTAACTGAAAATATGATCAAACAATATTAGAACTAAACGTTTGAAGCCATTTTAGCCATTAATATAACTCTCTGTTCACTGTAAGGATCTAAATGGAAACATATCTAACTGATTTTTGCTTGAACATAACCTGTGAAGTTTACCACCCAGATAATCCATTTAGCCCAAAGTCATAAAAACTGGGCAAATCTATAAATTTAATAGATAAATTTACTGCAGGTATGTATTAGTTACTATTTCTTTTGTGCCTGTTTGATGATGGTGGTGGTGGTGGTGGTGATAGTGGTAGTAATAATGATGATTTTTTTTATTCCCTGGATTATATCATGTGATAATCCAATAAATTTAATAAGGCCAAGCTGCTTTGGAGCATTAACAGTATTAGTCTAGGAACTACAATGCATTTTCGGTTTGCAACAAAAATTTCCATATAAAGAATTATCTGATAATTTCCATTTTAGAAATGATCTTGTCTCACTTATTCTTTTGACTGAATATAGATATTCAGTTATCTATAGACATTACTGGATTTTGATGAATATTATTCTGCTCGTCTACATTTCTGTGAAAAACTGTTCTCTCCCTTCTAGATGTTCAGAATCTGAAATTGCTTATCTTTTTGACTGAATGTTATCAGAAATTCAAGAAGATGATAGTGAAATACATAGAAAATGTGAGTGAGCATATAATGCCAAGGTTTGGTGGATGTTTCATTTATTTTAAAAGCAAGTCTTCCAATGTGCAGTATATCATTGTGAAAAAGCAACTGTCCTTAAGTTAGTAACTGCATTCAGTTAACTTGTGGTGTGCCAAGAAGCCCTGGCTTCAGTGCAAGTCAAGGCTTCTAGGAACATCACAACTTTAAGGCAGGGGTGAAATGTAAAATCTGTTACCAGTTCTGTGGGTGTGGCTTGGTGGTGGTGGTGGGGTAATGTGACTGGGTGGGCGTGGCCAACTTTTTCTTTTTTTTTTTAACTTTTCAAAGCATTTTTTCTAATGCTTTGAAAAGTCTCTCTGCCGATCAGGAACTCAGCTGGGATCATCAGAGAGGCTTTTTAAAAAAATGCCTCTCTGCCTATCAGGGAACTCAGCTGGGATCGTCAGAGACTTTTCAAAGCATTTTTTTTACCTCTTCGGCCAAGAGGTTGCAGAAAAAAATGCTTTGAAAAGCCTCTGATGATCCCAGCTGAGCCACACGATCATCAGAGGCTTTTTTTTTTAACTTTTAAAAGCATTTTTTCATCGGAAGAGGTTGTAGAAAAAATGTTTTTAAAAGTAAAAAAAAAAAGCCTCTGATGATCGTGCTGCTCAGCTGGGCACGGTGGGAGGGGGGATGCAGGGATTTTTGCTATCGGTTCTCCGAACCACCTGCCGCCATCGCTACCGTATCGGGCCATCTGGTCCGAACCGGGAGAATTTCACCCCAGCTTTAAGGCTATAAGAAGCATCTGAGCTGATGCAAAGCTAGGGTGCAGCGCACAGCTGAGCCATTTCATTCCAGCATCCAGATCAGCCCCACAGCAACAAAACCACAACCACCTCAGGAAGCCACAGCTATGCCTGCCTGTCAGCACCATGAAGCCACAATCACCCCAGGAAACCACAGCAAACCCAGCAAAACCCAGCCCCACAATGCAAAGCCACAACCACCTTCAACTCTTGAGGCCCTCACTTCCTGTGTTCCACTGTCCCAGTTGAACTTTGCCGTCTTCTTGCTCACACTGCTGGCCACACAAGTCTTCCTCCTGAGTGCTTGAGGGGAAATTGCTATACTCAAATGTGGGAAGGAGGCCTCGTGTGTCTAGCACTTCCTTGTGAAGAGCCAGGCTGGTGATGCTTGGTCAACAGAAGCAAGAAGGTGGTGAAGATAAAGCTGAGACTGACAAAGAACAGGGTAGCAGGAGCCTTGGAGTGCAGGAGGCCAAGAGATGTGAAGGAGACAAGTGTTGGGGAGAAGTTGATAAATGCAGTCATAAATGCACGCAGGTTACCAAGCACCCAAATATTAATCACGGTGCAGGTGTGCTACAATGGCTGTTACTTAGGGGACCGAACTTAAAATACCATTTGTTTAGCGCTATCGTAACTTCAAATCATCATAACACAAGGACTACCTAAATTCTCCTATAGGAGTCTCTGATATGAATCAAGTCATGCTTCTTTCTCTAATGGCAAGTCATCTTTTCTTAAAGGTATGGATAAAGTAGAATAAAAGTAGGAAAACAAATGTATATATACCATTCAAATTATGCAACCCAAATTAGATAGTAAGAAAAATCAATTGCTAAATAATGTAGACCAGGGTGTCCTCAACTTGTGGGGCTTGATGAGTTTGCAACTGGGCCGTGGAAACAGCTGGTGAGTGGATGCGTGCGCATGCGCATCCTCACTTACACATGCACATCCTCACTTGCATGAGCAGTGGGCAAACGTTTGTGTAGTCCATTTACATGAGCATCAGGCGTGCGTGCACACAAAGCCAGAAATGTTAGAGAAATCTGATGTAAACTAATAACTTAGTTCTTTTAAAAACTTAATCGTCATTAAAAAAAAAACAAAAGAATGAAAAAAATTAGAATGTTAAAAATCCATAAAAAACAATAGTAATAAAATGATATTACAAAATTCCTAATAATAGCTCAGATAATACAACTCATCTTTTACATTAGTTAAATGTAGACCATATGAAATTTTATTTCCTCTTTCCTTTCCTCAAAGCCAATTCAAAGACTGAAAATTGACAAAATTTCTTAAATTAAACATTAGTCAATACACCCATAGCCTCCTAGCAGTACTTTTTTTTCCTTTTTTTGGCTGCAGCCCAAATTTAACACAGACCATGTTTGATTTTTAAAAATGCCATTTTAATCCATAACTTCCCTTCCAAGAATCTGGTTTATCATACTATTGATGCTTAAGCAAAAACTCCATCAGACGTATCTGTAGAGTATGAAATAAATTACCTCCCCAACAGATGAATTGGAGTCCATTTTAAATATTGATGGAGATCAAAATCTATTTTTGTTCAATTAAATTAAGTTCCACATCAGACTTTTTTTCACATCTAACAAAGACAATAGAACAGATCCACTGTTATCAGAATAAAATGCTAAAATGACTACCCATAGTCTAGTATTGTTAAAAGCTTGATGGCTTTTTAAAACCCCAAATTAATTTGGATGAATTACTGAATATTATTACCTTCTAAAAAGTATTTGTCAAAAATTTTGAATCTCCATTTAATAGGAATGTTGTATAATATAGGCAGTGTTCATCTTACAATCATCCCTTTAGTGCCCATTCAAAGTTATTATGGCACTAGAAAAAAGTGATCTATGACCATTTTAACATGACAGTTGCAGAAACCCCATAGTCATATGACCAAAATTCAGGCATTTAGCAAATGGCATGTAATTATGACAGTTGCACTGTCCCAGTGTCATATGATCACTATTTGTAGCCTTCCCAGCTGGCTACAACAAGCAAAGTCAGTGGGGGAAGTCATTCATTTAATGACCACGTGGTTCTCTTAAAAACTGACAAAAATGGACCAAAGCTTTGTGGAAATTTGG